TCGGGTTCATGCCGAAAGATCTACAACGGATGCCATCTTCATCGCAAGGCAAGTGATGGAAAAGTATCGAGAAAAGCGCCGACCCTGCTACCTAGCCTTCCTCGACCTGGAGAAGGCGTTCGACCGGCTACCGCGAGCAGTACTATGGAGTCGCTCAGGGAACGAAACGTGCCAGAACACCTGATCTCGCTGGTGAAGGACATGTACGAAGGAGCCAAAGCAGCCATACGCACCCCTCACGGCCTAACAAAGGAGATAAACATCACGGTTGGGGTGCATCAAGGGTCAGCTCTGAGCCCGTTCCTCTTCCTCCTGACACTAGATGTCCTGGTGAAGGGCTCATGGCAGGGTCAACCCTATCGTTGTTGACTCTTCGAAAATTTTTTACGACCCCCCCCCTTCATGGTTGATTTGATACGACCCCCCTTGTACGTTACACTTGTGTAAAGACAGATTGACCTTAATATTTATTGCTACTCAAGTCAAATCAGCTTCCGAATAATGAGATGCACTCGAAGGTACCCGAAGGGTACCCCGAGGGGTTACTAAACTAAGAGATCGCCAAACTGAATCAGTTGCCTTAACACATTGTGGACCGCCGTTGAATGAAAACTTCGCCAAAAATGAGTCATCTATCAATAAATTTTTTGCCCGCTTGAAGATGTGTGCAAACTGTTCAGAAAGATTGTAAAGACAATAAGTCAGACGAAACCATGCTCTTTCAATCATGCGATGTGATTTCAAATTTGCTGGTTGGCGCCCTTTTGCCTTGCTGACGGTGGAGCGCATCTGCTCAAGGTGAGGAGCCGTCGAACGGGAATGTGAAAAGTTTAGGAGTTTTTTTTGTTTAATTTCAGGTAGTCCGGAAGATATCGGCGGATGTTGGATCAGCGTGGTTCATCCTTCTCAAGGAGTGCCCATTTTTTCTCAAACCCTTCACAATGAAAAAGTTATAAGCCAAAAAATTAGATTGCAAGAGAATTTTTACACTCCTCTTTCTAGGGCTATAACTTCCTTCATGTTCGAGCTTCAGCGCCATAGTGATTTGATTTAAAAAATTCAAATTATTCTCTAGCCAATCATGGGTATAAATTCTTCGAAAGTTAATTTATTAAAAATTTTGGACGTTGTGACTTTCTCTGGTGCAAACCGACTTTTTTGCTTTCAAACGATCATAACTTCCTTCAAAGTCATTCATTTAGGAAGCTGAACGCGATATAACACACTCCAGGATTCAAGCTTTCTAACGAGTACCCAAACGTTCCTGCAAAATCAGTAGTTCAAAATTTAGTCCCGTTGTAACCATTATAAAGGGCTGGTGTAACCATTTCTTTGAAAACGCGACTTTTTTACCTTCAAACGATCATAACTTCCTTAAAAGTCATTCATTTAGGAAGCTGAACGCGATATAACACACTCCAGGATTCAAGCTTTCTAACGAGTACCCAAGCGTTCCTGAAAAATCAGTAGTTCAAAATTTAGTCCCGTTGTAACCCTCAAATTTGAGGGGTATTTTTTGAGCCACTTTCTCGAAAGCGCGAGTTTTCTTAGGTTTCCACTGCCCGTAACTTCTTGGAAGACCAATTTCATGTTTAATTTAGGATGTGCTAGAAAGCTCCGAGCATGCGCTTGCACTACATCCCTTGCCTTGGTGCGCGCCACGCCTCGGGCGCCCTTCTAATTCGCTGATTCATTTGAAAGCTCATTCAGAGGGAAGCGTGGTTTACAGATGCTCTAGTATCAGTAATCTTGCGCAAACGTATCGTGCCGGCTATCATGCTGGTCTCTAAAGGCATTAGTTTCATATGTGGTCTCGTGGCTGTCACAATGCGAGTACTTTTTTCAGGATGCTGCAATCTTCCACTTCATGACTGCGTCCTTGCAGGGAGAAGGCTTTGCATAATTGCTATAACTATTCACAAACACTTTCTTTGCTGCGTTTGCTCTTCTCCTTCGTACCACTATCCATACTCAGTAGGACATCACCAAGAATTTTCAGTGCCGGCCACCAAAAAATTACGACCCCCCCCTCCAAGCTCAATTCAGTACGACCCCCCCGTTGTGACTCGTCACAACGTAGGGTTGACCCTGGCTCTGGAGGAACCACTGAAGACCATCCTCTACGCTGACGACATCGCCTTAATAGCGAACAGCAGAGGAATTTCAGAAAGTACAGGAATATGGCAGAAAGTCCTGGTAGAAAGACGGGCTCGTGAGCTGAATGCGTCAAGACCAAGTTCCTGAAAGCTCCGAAGAGGGTGCAGAGCCGATCGTGGACGGCCATGGTGAGACCATCGAAAGATGGAAGATTTCAGCTACCTTGGTAGCGATCTGGCAGCCGGCGGTGGCGTGGATCACGCAGTGAAGGCTCGAGTCAGCGCTGCATGGATGAAATGGAGGGAGTCGACTGGATTGGAATTGATGGTCCAGTAGAATCTTCTGCCATCGAATGTGCTCCAGAGCAGGGTCAACCCTACGTTGTTACTAGTAACAACGGGGGGGGTCGTACCTGGTTGAGTTTATAGGAGGGGGGTCGTATCCGCTTCAGTCGCGTGAAATTACATGTGAGTTTGTGGTGAAAGTGGAGTTTTCACGAGTAGTAGGCTAGGTGAGTTGGGAGCGCATGGGAGAAAAATTCGCCGTTTCAGCGCGCGTATATACCCCCCCCCGCTCGACGGCATTTTTGGAGGAAAAGTGGGCGGAGTTTGGTGGGTTGAGTGGTACCAGAATTAAATACTATAGAGAGGAATATGGTGGTCGAGGTGTCGAAAAGGGGGTCGTACCAAGTCCACCTTGGGGGAGGGGGTCGTAAAAATTTTTGAAAAAGTAACAACGATAGGACTGACCCTGCTCCAGAGCGTAAGGGAGGTGTATAATACAATATATAAGCCAGTGGTAAGGCCTGCGATGCTATACGGCAGCGAGTGCTGGCCCCTGAACAAGAACCACGAAAGGCAGCTTCACTCCGCTGAGATGAGGATGCTGAGGTGGGCCTGCGGCTGGACAGGGTCAGAAACGAGGATGTCAGAGCGGTCATGCAGACTGCCCCTGTCCAGCTGAAGGTGGAACAGCGTCTGCGATGGTATGGGCACGTGCTAAGGAGGCCACAGGATCATCCGATAAAGAAAGCGATGGACTTCGAAGTGCAAGGCAAGCGACCGCGAGGAGCCCCAAAGAAGAGGTGGAGAGACGTGATCAAGAAGGACCTAAGTGAAGTCATGGCCACAGCAGAGATGCCCTGGACAGAGCAAAGTGGCGACGACTGACAAAGACAGCGGACCCTGCGACTGCGCGGGACTAACGCTAGGGAGAAGAAGAAGGAGACGACGACGGCTGCAACGAAATGAGTGGTGCTGAAATCCTCAACGGAGTCTGTTGTCCGACGGCGGGGCATCTGCTGACGCAATTGCTATTGACAAAAGAGAACATGTTAGAGCCTGTCATATATACTGAAGCTCTCCACTTAGCAAACTAAGACATGTCAAGAACTGTGACGTATTCTGAGAGGAACTGACCTATTTCCTACCCTTCCTCTTTTTTCCCAGGAAAATGGCGCACCACAAGATACGGCTTTCCACAAGAACTAAGCCTCGGGGGATGGCAGGAGCTACGAAAAGATGAAAATCACTCACTCTGGAATTGTCCCCCTCCTCCGCCAAGGCTTAGTCCCTTTTTCCCAGAAAACAATCGTTTGACGCGGTTTTACTTACGTGCGTTATCGTCGCATGCTCGCATCTCTTGCGATAGGGCCTTATTTTGTTTGTTTTGTTGTTTTGTTGTTTCTTCGAAGCTTTAGATGAATGTTGGTTCTTAACATGTTCTGGTGTGTTGGCCGTTAGAAGGCGTTGTTCTTTTAAAGGAAGCGATTACGCAAAGGAATTTTCCCATCGGGGAAGACCTGCGCCACACGGAGCAATTACTTGGCTGCCAAGGAAGCGATGTGTGGCCCTCCCACGGCGAAAGGTGCTGTGGTTGCTGAGCAGGACCCGCGTGACGCCCCGCCCCCAGTGACGTGACGCCCACTAGTTTTGTTGATGATCTGGATGGACTGTTTGCTGTTGGCTTTTCATTTTGGATGATCATTTCCCTTCTAGCGGCTGTATCTTCCAACTTGCCCACGTATTGCCTTATCAATCAAAACACTATGCTTGTTGGCATGATGGCGGCTATCGGGGTTAACACGTCCGAACAACGTCGTTCTTTACCGTCGCTCATCCATGGTCGAAAATGAAAGGGCAATCAAAGGGGTACTATTTTGCTTATTTTTGACGGATTTCTTTGCTTTTTTCGCCATTGGCGTACTATTGAGACCCTCACGTCCCCTCCAAACCCCTGTGAAATCTATCGTAATCGCTTCCTTCAACACGTTTTGTTTTGTTAGCACGCTGCAGCAGCAAATGTCCCGCCGTCGGACAACAGATCCCCTCAACGTACCGTACGTCAAGGGTTATCGGTTGCTATTACTTCTGATCATCCTAAATCTCTTTTCTCTTACGATCTCTATAGCACATGTAAGTCCCAAGGTTATACTACCGCGAAGGCCGCAACGAAACCGGTGGTATGTACTTTTTGAAGCCCTATCAGTTCTTATCAGCTGCTAACACTTTATTCACCTTCTCAGTCCCCGCCTTACTACAAATAACCTTTACGTGTGCAAACATGTTACTATCAATTCGAATGGCGTATCAAAATTGGTTACATCAACATTTCAACGTCCGTTATCAGCTCCCGCCACTAGTTATCACTTCACTCACTCCCATCATCAGTGTTCGCGTCCAGGCCCCTTTATGTCCTAGAAGTTTAGAGCTGCTGATGCTGTCTCAATGCTAATGAAAAGGGCGCAGGCGAGCAAAGAATGACTGATTTCCACCCCCTTCTACTCGAAAGCCTCACTGCGCTCCAAATTGTTGAAGCTCAAGCGTATCTCTTGAGATTCCAGTCGACCAGAGTGATGTACCAGAGTCAGTGGAGGAAATCAGGCATCATTAGGTTCCCGCGCCTCAGAAATGATTCTGAAAACCTGCTATAAATTTCTCCTCCTCATCGGATAGAATGGACGTCAGATGGGAGTCATGTTTCTTGCAGAACTCTTCTGCTTTATTGAAAGAATCACCACCATCGGATTGCTTCGCCACCTGGAACAGTCACAGTGAAACCAGGTATTCTATTCAAAATCTCAGTCATACTTTAATGGCATACTTTGCTGACTCACTTTGAACAGAGTTTCATCTTTACTACCCGGTAGACCAACCCATTCACCAGCTTTGGCTCGTGCAACCGTCTCGTTGTCGATGGCAGAATAGCAGACCGGGTAGAGGTTCCAGAGAAGCAACACGCAACGAAGAGCACCGAAGAACACCATCATCACTCGGAAGAGAAAAATGACCCGTACCTTATCGTTTAGCTTTTATAGTGTTCCTTATCGCAATGACCGCCACGCTCTATCAGATGCTTGCTTCGACCAGCGAAAACGTGTACTGTTTCCATTTTATATAATCGCTCCATTTAATGGATCACTAACGTGTTTTTCCGGTTTGCGGTATATTATTGTGTATGAACCGTTTTACAGCACCCGACACAGGAAGGCTATCGTGCGACTAGGGGCTGGAGATGCAAAGAGATCACGGTGAGCGCTGTTCCACCTATCCTTGCGGCAATTCAGAGAGGCGGTGGAAGAGAACGCAGGGTAGACTGTGTGAAGTAGCCAACTCGCCCATTCCTCTGCCTCTCCAAGTCCTGGCTACGCAGTAGGCTTCCTGTCAGCTAACCTATCCCTTGTATCCTGTTTCCAGGTGTCTGCAATGCTTCACAAACAATATTGTGACAATGGCGCCAGCCCTGGCCTAACAGAATAATTGAGCGATAGCAATTGTTTTCTAGTAATCGTCACTAATTACGATTGATTGTCATTGATGAAGAATCAGCTGTCATTGTGAACAGTTGATGATAAGATTCTTTTGAGAACTGTACTCATTTGTAATGTAAATCTCCAGTGCAGACGCATCTGGCTACTGGATTCGAAGATACACTCTATTTAAACCAGATGCTCGCCAAATGCAGCCCACACAACAAAAGTGACGAAGACCTCCACAAAATGCGTTTTCTGCCGATGAAGTGAA